ATAATAATTTTACAATACTTTTCGCAAAGCAGCAAGAAATTTCAACAAAGTATATTTTAACAAATATATATGTATGTAAATATTATAGATAATGGCCAAGTGCTGGCTGTGTTGGAAAGAAATTCATAAAAAAGAGTTTAATTAAAATAGTGAGCATGTATATATTATAAAGACAAAGAATGTACACAAAATCAAAAGTGATGAACATCAGCAGGGTCAAAAGAATCACAAATACAAAAGAAAAAGCAAGAGACATCATAGAAACGATAAGAAACGATCGTTTAAAGAGACAGAAGACAGACATTGAAAATAAACAAAATGATAATACGGACACAAGTGAAGACAAATATCAGAAAACGAAGTTAATTGTGCAGCCAGTTTTTGGTTCTGTACAAGAGTCTAAAAAATTCATGTAATATCAATCAGGTTAAAGAACAAAGGAATTATTATTTCACATTTATGGGTATTTTAGGCAGCTGTATTGTTTCGTTCCGTTGATTACAGATGTGGCCCTTTACCATCCCCCATGGTCGGGCGATCTGTCATTATGCTGAGCTATAATGTTATTTCTTAGACGACAATTTTTATTTTGTAAAAATCTAAATAAAAGAACGACGACATTTACAAAAGATGTACAGTATTTATGTTTCATATTACGAGTATTAATGACTTATGACAAATTACCCAGTATTTCACAGATTTGTGCTTGAATTTCTCAAATACGGACTTTTCTTATTCGTGCCTCCATAGTGGAGAGGAGCATAACCGATAATTGGCAGGTTACGCGCAGAGCAGATAAAAATGGTATAGGTACACCCTTTACGGTTACCAAACATTGATTCTGGACTAACTTCTTCCAAAAATAAATTATAAAGGTGTTCAGAAGAGTTTGATAAAACTGCTAAGAAAAGAAATCTCAATTCAGGTATTTTTATAAATAATTGTTTGATTTGTTACCTTACTGATAACAAGTTACAACAAAGGTTGTGCTTGTACATGCGATGCGATGCTATACCTTTACGATGACTTAGAGTAACATTTTGATTGCCAAAAATAAATGTTACTTTACTTTCTAGTTCAATCATACGTGTTATAAACCTAACTAAGTTTCCAACATGTACAAAGCTTAAAGCAAAGTATTGTTCATTTTTCGCTATCAAATTGAGTTAAATAAGTAAAATATTTTAAGAATTGACTATGATAATGGTGATTGCTTAATTATTCACGATGAAAAAGTGTGTAGGATAAAATATGATAACTACCTCAATTGTAAAAAGACTGTCATACTCATTTTAAAAATTGAATGTTACTGATAAATTCCTAACAATATTAACTGAAATGTGTGTGGGTTACGTTGATTATTGATTGTTTTTGCATAGTAAAATATATAATTTAATCGATTATTAAAACTTTTACCGAAGTATTCACATTAACACTTGCATGGGCATAATGTCATAATGCCACAAATACATAAATATATTATGTAACTACGCACGCTTTTTACAAAACCCTACTTGGTTTGCCTAGGGGCATCAATTATCTTTCGGTCGATATCTGTTTTGTGAAAATCTGTCCATTCTAGCCTCTGCTATACAACGAGACATATTGCATACTTGAACATACTTACAATAAAATGTTTGGTAAAATGTTCGCCGCCAAAATAAAAAACCGCTGTTTTCTTGGTATAGGCCCAAAAGAGATATTTCATGAAATATGCTCAATTTATGGACCTGGTGAGCTGTCCAAGGTTAAAAGTGGTGCAAGAAATGTGCAAGTGGAATAACGCCCTTGCAAGATGCGCCATATGACAATCGCAGGAAGATAGCAACCAGTCCCAAAATGGTAGGATAAGTTGAAAAATTGTATCGACAAATGCAAGATTCAGCCCGACAGGAAGGCAACTCAATATTTGCAATTCATTCATTTCCAAGGAAGCACCTTAAAACAAGTAAGATACCTGCGCGATGTGTACCCCATTTGCTCACAAAGGAGCAGAAGCGCCTCCGCGTGAAAAGGCAAGGGCTGCGTGACAAAGCAGCTCTTTTCTACGCAATTTTTTAAGGCCGTCAATGTTGTAGAGCTTCCGCACCCACCGTTTCCTACACATTTCCTGTGACTACTTTCTGTTCCCGAGGCTCAAAAAGTACCTCACTGGTCGAAAATAAAAAACACGAAAAGATCTTGGTTCAGCCATCACGCGCCACAGAATATCCTCCAACTGACTAATGCATTGCTTGTTCAACGTTGCGTCAATTCTACGAGTCGACGCGTTAACGCACTACTTAAATTGATCAAAAATTGAATTTGACCCTGTCCTTAGAACTAGCGTAATTTAACAATCTGAAACATAATTAATAAACAACAAAATGCATACCAATGTTGTGCATGCATCTCTATTTCATGCCCATTATTCGTTTTAACTTTTCCGTCATCGATTTCCTGAATACAATAATAAAATATATACTGTCAGATTTCTATTTTTGCTGAGTGTATAATTTCACACTGACAACTTTTTTCAAAGATTTAACCCATGTGGTGGTACCTCACTTTATTTTCGCTAACAAATCCGACAAAAGTCTTTTATTTTCATATACACAGGAAGGCCCATTGAATCATCAAATTTTCAATTTTTCTTATTTTTTCTGTTTAACAAATACATTTTAACAAATTAAAACAATATTGTGGTCGGTGCTATCAGGAGCCATCCGTTTTTAGCTCACCTGTCACAAAGTGACAGGGTGAGCTTTTGTGATCGCTTTTCGTCCAGCGTCCGTCCGTCCATCCGTCCGTCCGTCGTCCGTCGTCCGTCCGTAAACTTTTGCTTTAAATGACATCTCCTCATAAACCACTGAGCCAATTTCATCCAAACTTCACAGGAATGTTCCTTTGGTGGTCACCTTTAAAAATTGTTCAAAGAATTTAATTCCATGCAGAACTCTGGTTGTCATGGCAACCGAAAGAAAAATCTTTAAATTACTTCTTTTAAACAACCCTAAGAGCTAGAGCTTAGATATTTGGCATGAAACATCTTCTAGTGAGTGTCTACCAAATTTGTTCAAATAAAAGCCCTGGGGTCAAAATTGGCCCCGCCCCAGGGGGTCATTGATTTTCCCTATATGCATATAGTAAAAAATTAAAAAATCTTCTTTTAAAGAACCCAAAGAGCTAGAGCTAAGATATTTGGCATGAAACATCTTCTAGTGAGTGTCCACCAAGTTTGTTCAAATAAAATCCCTGGGGTCAAAATTGGCCCCGCCCCGGGGGGTCATTGATTTTCCCTATATGCATATAGTAAAAACTTAAAAAATCTTCTTTTAAAGAACCGTAAGAGCTAGAGCTTAGATATTAAGCATGAAACATCTTCTAGTGAATGTCTACCAAGTTTGTTCAAATAAAAGCCCTGGGGTCAAAATTGGCCCCGCCCCAGGGGGTCATAGATTTTCCCTATATGCATATAGTAAAAACTTAAAAAATCTTCTTTTAAAGAACCCAAAGAGCTAGAGCTAAGATATTTAGCATGAAACATCTTCTAATGAGTGTCTACCAAGTTTGTTCAAATAAAAGCCCTGGGGTCAAAATTGGCCCCGCCCCAGGGGGTCATTGATTTTCCCTATATGCATAAAGTAAAAACTTAAAATCTTCTTTTAAAGAACTCAAAGAGCTAGAGCTAAGATATTTAGCATGAAACATGTTCTAATGGGTGTCTACCAAGTATGTTCAAATAAAAGCCCTGGGGTCAAAACTGGCCAGGGGTGTCATTGTTTTTAACTATATGTGTATAGTAAAAACTTTAAAAATCTCCTTTTAAAAAACCCAATGAGCTAGAATTTAGATGTTTAGCATGAAACATCTTCTTATGGGTGTCTACCAAGTCTGTTCAAATAAACAAATAAAAGCCCTTGGGTAAAAATTGGCCCGGGGGTGGGGGGCCTATATACAGGTGAGCGACCTCAGGGCCATCATGTCCCTCTTGTTTTCTATGTACCCCAGTCCGATGTGGTAATAACACTTCTTTCCACTTGATGACATTTGAGCATGTTTAAGTATCATACGTAATGCAATGTGTAAAAGCAATCACTTTTAAATACGGCGGTCGCTAATATATACTTCCGCCGTTTCGCGGAATTGAGCTCGACATGATGTAACATTTTCATCTTGTAGAATTTTTTGCTTTAATTATAAAATCAAGCGATCATTCATATTTTTTATATCAAATTAATAAAATCATCGCCATTTAACGTTGACTTTTTAACAAATAAAAAGAAACTTTGTTTGTTTGTTATGTACGATGTTATTTTATTTCATCTTGTGAACTTCAAAAACAGTATTCTTTTATACTGTTTTAAAGCTCACAAAAACAAGCAAATATCCTCTATGTCATAACAATCTGGTATAGTAAAACCCTTCCTAAAGAGGGTTTAATATGTGATAATTGCATACTCAATTTGATTGCGTTTGTTCATTAAAATAATGGGTAGATTCTTGGTAGACTCCTATCACTAGATGACGCAGTATTCAACCCATATGTACTTATCACATGTCATAAGTTTGTTAGTTTTTTTCTGGTGTTGATGCTGATTGTGGCACATGTTTTGGTCATACCGCGGCGGTCGATCCACCTAACAGACTGTTCTGGATGACAAACAACAAATTACCAATTTCTCTGCAAGTGACCGAATACTTATCCCCTATAATTTTCTGAATCAGTGGCTAGGGACAAATGATCATTGGAATCAGTATCTTAAATCAATTGTGATTATACCAATTCCATGTCTTACAGGATGAAGAGTTTATCAAATGTGTCAATTAAAAAGGATCATGAATACACACTTGACATGGAGGCTGGACATAAGCGCTTGGTGCATGCAGGGGTATAATAAATATCATGTTTCGAGGCAATGGCAAAGTAGGTGACGAAGAAGAAATTGCTGCAGCTCCCTTTCCTGACATATTTGAAAGGGATTTTATTACAACATTCAATGTGGTTGAACCAAAACTAAATGTTTGCTGTGTTGAAGTACTTCACGAAAACTCCCTCAAAACTTCCCGTCAACAATCAAATGCTGAAGCCTTTTCTAGAAATGAGTTTGAAGGAGGCCTTAACAAAGAAACGTATCTTCATAGTAGATTATGAGATAATGGATGGTTTACTGACAAAGCCGAGTTCCATTGCGTTTTTTTATCAACACAATGATGGGACTCTTATACCGATTGCTATCCAACTATTTCAGAAGCTATCCAACTATTTCAGAAGCGATAACTCTGTGTTTCTACCGAGTGATCCTGAATATACTTGGATTCTTGCAAAGATGTGGTTCAACGGCGCAGATGCCAATTATCACGAATCCGTTTCACTTCCTGAATTTACTCATTTGAAGATGGAAGGTGTCGTTGCAATAACACACTTGCAAATATACATAAAAAATCCGATATATAAGCTCCTGATGCCCCATTTCTTTTACCTTCTTGCCATCAACTGGACGGGAATTCCATTATTGCTAGGCAATAACGGATATATTGTAAAGCTGTTGAATATTGGAAGAGATGGAGCGACTGAACTTATCAGGCGGAAAAACAAAAGCTGGCGATTGGATGTTGACGGTACACTGCATAAAAGAACGCAGTTTAGATGACTCTTTTTGTTTGCCCGATTTTTACTATCGAGACGATGCGATGGAGATTTACACACAATTTAAAGATATGTACAGAAATACACAAATCTTTACTACCCATCGGATAAGGTAGTTCTGAATGACAAAGAGCTCCAGCAATGGAGAAAGGAAATGGTTGCCCCTATTGAAGAACAAGGTCTTGGTTTGCTCGGTGTATTTGGAAAAGATGACAAATTTACTGAGAAAAATTAAGTTTGTCTAACATTGACAAGCATCAATTTCACGTGCAGTGCTAAACACGAAGCTGTCACTTTCCGGCAGTATGAGGAATACGCCTTCCCACCAAATTTTTCGATAACCTTACGGGGAATTTCACAAAAACCAAAGACAACTGAAAGAGGAGAAACTTCTGCAACATCTTCCACAAGAAGAAACAATGTACGACAAGCTGGTCATAACAGACACACCGAGCACTGACAGCACGAATGCGCTAGGGAACTTTGAAGTTCGGTATATTTTGTTTGTTTGTTTGTTTGTTTGTTTGGATTTTTACGGCACGTCAACACATAACTGGGCATATCGTGCCGAATGCTATAATAGGCTTAAAATGTTATGTAAATCTTTGTAAATGACAATAGAAATGAGCCAATTAGATCCTAGAATACAACTTTATCTCTTTCAAATAATCAATTATGTTTTTTTGATAAAATTGTATTAAAGAGTTCTTTGAGTGAATTTACAGAATTAAATCTATTACGGGTCTGTGAAAAATCATGACATTCAAGAAGAAAATGCTTGACAGTAAAAGTTTCATTACAACCCACACAGAAAGGGGCATTGTCATTTGTGAGGAGATAAGAGTGGGTAATTTTAGTGTGTCCAATTCGGCATCGAAGAAGAACTGTTTGATCACGGCGGTTTGACAGAGATAAAGATGATGACACATCAAGAGATGGGTTTATTTCGTGAAGTTTATTAAAAAAAGGCATTGTCCGAATTTGCTTTCCATTCAGATGATACGAGTTTATTTATAGCCGGTCTAAAATCACAAGCAGGTAACAATAAGTCAGTTTTTTGAAAATTTAATGATTGTTTAGCTAAAGCATCTACTTTTTCATTTCCTCGTATACCTACATGACTTGGAATCCAATATAATTTAACATATTTTGTTTTTAGTATATCATGAAATCGTAAAAGAAGTTTCTTTATCATGATATTGTCAGATTTTTTTTATTTTTAATAGATATTAAAACAGAAAGCGAGTCAGAAAATATCACAAATTTATCGTGGGTATGCTGTTCTATGTATGACAATGCTAAATCGATAGCTTTTGCTTCAGCAGTAAAAATTGATGCATTATCTGGTAACCTCATACTATTTGTAAAATTATTTTCAAACACAGCCGCACCTACTTTGCAACCTTCTTTTGAACCGTCCGTATAAATATGTATCAAATATTCATGTTCTTCCTTAATTGCTAGAAACTTCTCTTTGAAATATTCAGGTGAATTTGATGATTTTTTTTTTATATTTGAAAGGTTAATATTTATTTTCGGGGAATTATAAGTCCAAGGTGGAACATCCTCATCGTCATTTTGAAGGATACTGTCTGGATTAATGTTAAGTTTATCTAATCATCTTTTAAACGAAGGCCTAATGGTTTAATTTCCTTTGGTTTGTTAACAAATTTTTCAGTATAACTTGGCTTGAAAATAATATTTTTAGCTGGATTTTTGCTATTAGATGAAATTCTAGTTGCATATTGAAGTGATAGCTTTTTTCGACGAAGATGAAGCGATGGTTCCCCAGCTTCCGCATATAGACTTTCTACAGGTGAAGTGCGAAAAGCACCTAAAGCTAAACGTAAACCCTAGTGATGTATGGTATCTAACATTTGAAGATATGATTTTCTTGCAGACCCATATACTACAGAACCATAATCTAATTTTAATCGGTATATACATGATCCCAAAGCGCAAAAGATTCTTGAGAAGTTCAAAGCAGACCTTGCAAAAATAGCGCAGGTAAGCAAAGAGCAAAACCATAAGGACAGAAAAATTGAAAAGTACTGGGCTCTTAATCCAAAGCGTGTCCCAAATTCTATTGCTATTTAGTTGATATGAAGTCGCATGCAAATACATTTAAGGAAAAATATTAATTAGAACTATTATAACCATGTTAATAATTGCTAATTTGCTAGTACATTTATATTGTCGTAACTGAGCACAGATGGACAGCATGATTCAAACTATGACATTAGTTGTGTGAAACTTTGAATATATCCTTGAGTTTTGTTCTGAACGATAATATGTTGGGGTTCTTTTTGGTTTTGGGTTTGTTGTTGTTGTTTTGTTGTTGATGGAGACTCACAAATTGTCAATTAATTTAGAGAAACATTTTAAACTAAAATTGAAGTAACATTTTGTCCATCCAATTTTAATGGTAAGCGAATAACTTAACATATTGCCATAATTGGTTTAATTTTATATTTTTACAATGGAAAAATAATCCTAGTGACCAAAGAAATTCCTGTAAATATCGTTCATATTTTATGTATCAGTAGCGCTCAATTTTTATAAAAGAGTAGGACAGTCTTTTTATAATTTAGGTTGTGTAATATCGAATCATTAATGTTTTCATTATCAATAATTGGTCAGTCAACATAACAATTGTCAACATATTACTAATCTAACTCAACTTGGGAAAAAATGGACACAATGTCACTTTAAACATGATAATAAATCTACATTGCTCGACAAATGCCGATTTTTCATGTACGACTTGAAGGGTAGATTTTTCTAGATTTGCTTCTTGAAAGCAAATAAACTGTATACAAAATCAAACAAAGATCTGAGCAATCACTTTCGAGTATGTACAATATCAATATACACGCTTGCAATTTGACTTAAATCATATGATTCTGTGATGTAGATGTTTGCTTTAAATGGTGAATTCTGATTAAGCCGATACTAGGGAACAAGGACGATAACTTGCACTTTCAAGTACCGTCAATGAACAGGCTCAATCAAACCGAGCCTGCACATTTTTCAATTTTGTCGTTTTGTGCGTTCCTTAGGGATTCCGTTTTTCTCTATTTAAGCTCTTATAAAACATTATAGTGTACCTATCTCTTTTGTATATATATTGTGCAAATATACTCTTGTATATTGTAAAAAAAACAGATGAGAACTTTTTCTTTGTTTATTAAATCCTCCCGATTTTCTTTGTATTTCCGGGCACGAAATATATCACTACTAATGTTCATTTTTTCAAGGACTACACTGTTAAATTTATACTGATCATTAGCCAATAATTGATAATGACTCACATTCTGCATAAATCATTAAGACTGGCTAAAATATAAAAAGACTGTCCCACTAATTTTATAAATCGAATGTTACCGATACATTCAGGAGGGTATTTTTAGATATCCATATTGGTCACGGGGGTAACTGGTTATTTAGTGACGTTTATTATAAAATTGAAAACAAATATGACAAAATGTAAAGTTATTTCAATTTATACCTAAACCCCATCGACGTTTACTCATGGATGGGCATAATGACACTTTAAGCAGCAATTACCATGAGATCATTTTCAGCAGCTAAGTGCAAGATAGTTCTGTATTATACATCCTCCGAAATAACAAGGAAACTAACCACTATGACATAGTGGTTTTGTGTATTGGTGACAAAAAATTTATGCGTGCTTTGGAAATTTTGTTGTTTACGCCAAACGTTTGTATCATTTCAAAATAAATGATCCATATCAATAGTAATATAACGGATACATTTTTTATTAATTGTAAGTCATAATGTGAGCAGAAACTTATCTTAAATTGCAATGAATAAGTTAGAAGAAAGATTAACATTAAAATTTTAAAAAAAATCATTTTTTTCAATTATGAACTCAATTGAGCACAAAGGTGGCATTTTGTAATTGACCAATGTCTATCTACGACAAACATGTTATGTTATGAACATATTTTTTAGATTACGCCACGTCTCGAACTTCTGAGTAAATTATGTCCAAAGTTCGAAAAATTGATCCTATTGTGGTTCTTTACGAATATAAGTCAATGTTAAAGAAGTGATACACTTTAAAATGTAACCGACAACACGATTGGTCTAAATCGAAGCAGTACGTTCAATAATCTGGATTTCAATATAATGAAAAGGTAGGCACATTGAGTCTCAGAAATGAATACGATCTTTCCTCTGAAGAAAAGGCAAACCTGTCACATTATGTTTTAATAATGTATCAAGATTATGATATAAGCTTGTGAGATAATTTGGCATGTTACATGTAGTAGAAAAAAGTTAACGAAGTGGTATTTTGTCTTCTTTTCCATACAAAATAATGAATCACTTTAACTTTACTAATGGTCGAAAAGGAAAAGATGGTTTAGCTATACGGGAAGTGCGTACTGTTTCGGAAACAGTGACAAAACACCTAAAGACGATAGTTTTTGGATGATTTAAATGAGGTTTGAATGTTGCAATTAGTTTCTACCAAATGTTAATCAATTATCGTTGTTTCTTATTTTTTTACTGACACATAAAGTAAATACATAAAATATGTACTTCTTAAAATATGAATTGTAGAGCAATATTGGACAGCAATGTTCACAAGGAGAAGCCCTTATAATATCAACTAGCAATGGCATCATTTGAGGTACAAAAAGGGTATACAAGTAATATAAAACACAGGGGACAACTTGCCATGAACATCGAAACTATCCATCCGCCGAGGAATATAATAACATCTGAGACGGTTTTTAGAAAAAGTTAGCTTTTGTGTAGTGTTCAAAATGAAAACGATAATTTGTACATGTATAAGATACCCTAAAATCTAAAATTAAAGAAATATTAGTAAAGACATTTTCACCTCAGGAATGTAACAGAAATCAGAAATACTTGTCTGATAATTCATTCATTTTGATGAGATGCAAAGAGACATTTAGTATAAATTCATCCATTTTTTTTTTGGCTAAATAATAACAATATAGACTAGCTGAAAGTATATCTAATAGAACATACTTTAACAGGAAAATGAAATGCAAGAAACTGATCAATTGCAATGTGAAACGTAAATTTGCTCGTCAAAAAATATTCATAAACATACGCGAATAAAAAAAGTGTACACTTTGAAAATGAGAACACAAATTTAGTAAGGAAGTTGACGTTCAGTACGTGCCCATTCCCCCACACCCCCCCCCCCCCGGCACAGCCATGTCAACATTAGTAGAGCACCCAGTAGGGCACCGAATAAAAGAGGGTGGAGAAGGGGTGCATGCTTATAACTGTTACAATTAACATTTGGATAATAAATGAATGATCCAAAATACAAAAACGGATGATGCGGGAATTAAAGGAACCAAGGGTGGGCTGTATGGGAAAGAGAGAGTTGAGAAAAAATGGGAACTAAGTGGAAATGGAAAGTAAATATTGAGAAAACAAATATAACCTTTTCTCCGTGACATACTAGTTTAAGGACATATAGGCATTATATTCTGTTCTAGTGAAAATTTGTTGTGTTTCAAAATACAAATGCTTATTTCAGTACATATGTCTGTTGCTAGCACTTTGGCAGCTGGTAGGAATTAAGTATTAGCCATAATAGTCATCATAGTAGTAGTAATCATAATCGTAGATTTTAGAGGTCTGGTAACACGTGGTGTCAAAGCAACAATCTTGGGCTGAACAGCATACGTCATCGCAGTAACACTCTCCAAAAGTTCCATCAAACCTGAGACCTTCCATTACTGATGATTGTGAACATGTGCTGTTGTGTGTTGAGACGCAGCCTGTAAGCAAACAGAAAAAAACGGATCATTTTTAGTGTAACCACCTAGAGTTTCTATCATCATTGAAACTGTATTTATTTTCAATAATTACTGTATTTACGAATCGGCAGGTTATAAAGATATTGCGGTCATACAGTGTATTCGATGGATCAGTGCGAAAGGGACGTAACTCATTCATTATGTAACATGAGTTACAGCTGTTTCGCACCAAACCCTCGAATTAAACTAATGATTTTCGATTACAAGAAAAATACGTTTTTGGATATGATCAGCTTGGTTAAAAGCCTTACCAAATGATGGTATAATTTTGCATTGTGCGCTTTTAAATGTTGAAAATTGAGTACCGCTCTTGAAAGCCGGTTCTAGGCGGCGTGAAGGATGTTACATATTTCCATTATCCCTCATAATCAGACTCAGTCAAACCGAGTCTGCAATATTTTTGTAATTTTGTTGTGATTATTGCTTCAATGGGATCACTTTTTCCAGATTTTTATATTGAAATATTAGAAAGACTTCAGTGTTCACAATTCTTTAACATTGACTGCACTTAGTAAAGGTAGATTTTTTCTTATTTAACGAATACATTGTACGTATTGTACATCGAACAAAATATTGGCATCTTTGCAAAAAAAATTCTTTTGAAATAGGTTAACAAGCGTGGGAATAGAACTTGTGTGACAAAGTTTTGTTTAATCGTTTAATTAATAATTTAATGAATAGTTTGAATCTACTCGTAAAGATTATATCTTTAATCTATTCTACAGTACGAGTAGATAACTTGATTTTAAACATTTTCAAACTAAGTTCACAGTATATATGCAGTTGTTGTTTTATAGCATATTTCTTTGTCTAATGCCTCGCAGTAGCACCCAGTTTTCTTGTTGTTCTTGTTGTTGTTGTTCTAATTATTGTTGTTGTTGTTGTTGTTGTTTTTATATAATAAATATATTTTTATATAATAAAATGGTAACATTTTTAATATATTGCCACATAATATATAGAGCCTTGTTACAGAATCAAATGCTTAATGAATAGAAATAATCTATTTTAGTTTTGAAATGAATGTGAAAATAAAACAACTATGCATCAAAGAAGATTTATATTTTGAAACGTTTGGTATGAAATATTCTTTGAAACTTCAAACAATACATGTACCTGTCGCATTAACAGGAATAGCACTGCCATCTGAAAAATAGAGAAGAAATGTTAACATATATTTCAAAAGAACATTTCGTCTTTATTTATTTATTTATTTATTTATCTATTGTTTGGCTTCTTGAATCCTTACTCTGCTGTGTTTCATAAATACTGGCTTCTTTAATCTTTAGATTAGTAGACTCGTCCAATTTCTATTTTTGGAATCATCCATTATGAAATTTTGGGATATCAGGATGAATATTTCAAGTTTATCAGCCTACTGTAAAGAGTCTTATTGATATCGGACTGCAGTTATATCTGATCATGGTATGCACTGAGCATATATATTTTGAAAAAAATTCTCTCCCCAATCACCCCACCCCTTCCCCTAAATTGATGAATGGCCATGTCCAGATTGAAAGATGGACTAGACCATTTAAGATGTTATCGAAATAAACGTTAAAGTGAAAGAATATATTATAAAAAATAAACAAAGAAATAATAAATAGTCTTACTCCGCAAGAAACCGACGTCAGGACCTGGAAAAAAAACATACATTAATGTGTAAGATATTAACATATAATAAAAAAAAAAACGTATTGATTATCTTTTGAATCTTATAAGCATTGCCGATGTTTTTATTCCGTAATATGAAAATACAAAAAAAATTGTGTAAGGCGATTTAGACTTATCGAGAGTCAACTGTTAATACTTTATCAGAACTTTTTGTTGGCTTTTACGTCGCACCAACACAAAACAGATCATATGGCGACTTTCCAGCTTTACTGGTGTAGGAAGGCACTTTAGTTCATTATTTCAGGCACAATCGGGCACTTGAATAGAACCACCGACGTTGCGTAAGCTAGGTGGATAGCTTTATCACATGTAAGCATTTGAAGACGCTAGCGCGGATCAAACCAACATCTGTGAGATGCAAGTACATTTAAAATCAACAATACGTCCTCTAACACTCGGCCACGGACGCCCTTACTTATAGTTTATTCGGTATTTTGACAGGTAAATTCACATCATATATGGGCTCTTTTTTAACTAAACATTCATGGTAAATTAAAAACATGAAAATTCATTCTTGAGCAAACCCCAGTTCATTTTTTGTAAAAAAAAAATTTTTAAAAATTTTTGGGTGGGGGTTTATTTTTTAGGCAATTTTTTGAAAATTTTAAAATTTTTCCAAATATATTTTTGTTATTTTTTTGTTTTTAAAAAGTAAAACGAAGAATTAAAATTCAACCTTTAAAGAAATGTGGTCATCATGTGAAAAATTGAAGAAACATTGTAATTCAGAAGTAAAATGTTAGTAAATGACAATTTATGAAAAGGTGATTTAAGTTAACAACACAATAGCAATTATGACACATTGCACATTTTGTATCAATGGAGCCAAACAAATTATTATTTGGGCGACTTCTTATGGTCGCCACACTACAACTTACCATATACGCATAATGGCTCAGATGGAATTATCCATGAACCGTTAGCACTGCATTCAATATACCCTGGTGAGCTGGGGGGAGGATAACTTGTACACGGATCACACCTGTAGGGGAGTTGCGATCCGATACTGTAGTTACCGATAGCTCTATTCACTATAATACCGGGAATGTAAGGAACTAATCCGCAGCGATCTGAAATGGGGGGGAAAATATGCGAAATGTATTCACAATATCTACTCAAAAGCTTTAAAAAGAAAACACTATGCTTTTGTTATATATGACAAAAAAATATGATTTTGTTATAATGTGGCGCTAAAATGATCATCTATAGATGTCTCTAGCAGAAATTGTTTTTTTTACACGAGGAATAATTATATTTATCGACAAATGACATACGTTCTAAATACCCGTGTGCCCTACCTTAAAATTAAGTTAAGCACACCCCGTTAATTTAAAATGGCTTTTTCTGGTCCTTTGGAATCATTGATTCCAGCACTATTAAGTGTTGAGAATTGCTTACTGCTCAAACCGTTGCTAGAGGGCGTGAAGGATGTTGCACGTATTCATTATCCCTCATGTACACACTCAATCAAACCGAGTCTGCAATTATCTTGTAATTTTGTTGTGATTAATGCTTCTGAGGGATCACTTTGTTTTAAGATTTTTGTGATTAAAAGCACTGTCATGAGCTGACGACTTAATTTAGCTAAGACAAAGTAATGTGATAAGTAGTACACACGTTATAAAATTTAGCTACATAATGTCATTTTAGGTTACGTAATCGTCAACATTTACCTAAAATATCCACCAGTATATAAATAACACATGGGTTTGTGGGTAACAGTAAAAATATCATCCCGAGAAAAATACTGTTACCCGAGGCGTAGCCGAGGGTAACAGTATTTTTACGAGGGATGATATTTTTACTGTTACTCACAAACCCATGTGTTATCTATTTTATTACCCCGAACAAAAATACTGAGATGATCTGAAATTGTCAACTAAATCTAACTGTAACAAAAATAAACCAAGAGTAACAATAACTAAACTGTCCTTACGTTTTAAGTTTTAAGTGTACTTTACTACTGTATGCCTACTTGAGAAGTTTTCTTTTTCTTTTATTCTTTAAGCATGTGATGATATCTACAAACCATAAACATACAATAAGCTAGGTTTTATTTAGGAAACAAAACACTAACCCATTTACACGGTTATGATCTGTGAAATCTGATCCTTCTGTTTCCAGAATATTCTTAGCATGGTTTTTGACAAAATTACGATGATATCCAATGTCTACCATATCTGTAACGTTTCACTGATTAAATTTGTTAAATAACCCTTTGTTGCATGCTTAAATCTTCTGCATGTTCCAGTTTGACATATAATTATTTACATTGCAATCACTTCCGTTGTTTTTTTGAAAACGGATGTTCACTTTTTGACTATTGAGCAAAAAGATATTTTATACGCGAAAAGCACACCAGGGTGCAAACAACTAAATTTTATGAGTGTCATTGGGACTCCAGAGGAGAAATTGATGTCCTATCGGGGTTAAACGTTGAAAATAAGAATGAATCGAGAAAAAAATGGCGGCCATTTTATTTCATTTTATTTAGGAAATAGACCACGTGACCGCTTAAAAAATACTGTTACCTATGTAACAGTACAAAATTTTTAGTCACGTGGTACACTTGCATTAACAGTAAAAATAACTCCCAGAGGCCTATGGGAAATTAGCATTACGAAAAAAGTGAGGGGTAATAATAAATATTGTCAACTCTCGAACACCATACTTATAAAAACTAACATTTTTGGTAAAAAAAAAACAACACATGTTGCTTATATTTAAATGCTTCAATAATTTGTTTAAGAATTAACTTTACTTAATTTAAGGTTTATGATTACTAAATTGGTATCGCTACTTATCACATTCTTAGCTCAGATAATACGTCATCTTATGACAGTGCTTTCAATCACAATCGGGATGTGCTTAACTTATTTCCAGGTGTATATATTTTTCCTGTTGTATATTTTCATCCAAATTCTTGCCGTAATTGTTGAAATACATTGTCAGCCAGGTATTTTCCCTTTAGATCGAAATTATAATAGGTATACAAACTATAGATTGTAATTGAATTAGGTAAACAACAAACCTGGCGGTCCTACTGGTCTTGGTGGCAACCCAGTCTAAAATTACAAAAAAATAAAAAATATTTTCAAAAAAGCTGAAAAAAATCGCGACTTCATTGTTTTTGGTTTTCACAAACTGGTTTTTTATCTTGTTCATTTTCAGTTTTTCTCTGAAAATTCTTCCATCTAAAATGGAAAATATCTATTATAATGCATATAAAATATCGTTAACATTTGACTTGTTAAATATGTTTCATATAAGATGTGGAGACTATTATATATCGGGAAAGAAAATCACAAAGAACGTAGTAATATGTTTGATGGGAGTTTTTGTTGTTTTTGTTGTTTTTGTTGGGTTTTTTTTTTCAATCGGAACATCTCAGCTATTGATCAAAATAAACTCGGACTTAATACAGATTTAAAGCAGTTCTACAATGTGGTTTTAGATGTAAACATAAACAAAGGATGTAATCTTTTATAATGTGTAACAAAATGTAATATGTCTGACAACCAGAAAGAAAAGAGTCTGTTTCGGTAAATTTTGATTGAAAAATATGTTTGATAATCATATTCAATTTAAAAATGCCCGCTGATATACAATTATAACCCAGTCAGCAACTCCCAGCAAAATATTACTATTTGATTACATGTTTAGATACTATAGTGTCCGAGGTCAGTCGGAAGCGCCAAGAAGATGCTACTGGGGAAATCTCGGTAAAATGTCTTTCATATGAAACCTGGATTTATTTTTCATATTTAAACCTGATATATCTTTCATATAATACCGGAAAATAATTCATGTATAACCGGGAAATATTGTATATATAATACCAGGAAATATCTTTCATATAAAACGGGAAAAAATATCTTTCATATAAAACAGGAAATATCGTTCATATAAACGGGAAATATCTTTCAAATTAAACCTTGATATAGCGTTTATATTAAACCGGTGAATATCTTTCATATAAAACCTCCAAATATCTTTCATATTTAACCGGGAAAAATATTTTATATAATACCGGAAAATATATGTGATATAAAACGGAAAAATGTCATTCATATAAAACTGGAAATATCGTTCATATAAAACGAGGTATACGTACATGTATTTATCATCTTGCTATTTCTTAAACAAATTCTATGAAAGAAATACAAATATCTAGTTAGTAATTAGTAAATAAAATAAATTGAATTATAACAAATTCAGTTTTATTATATGACCAAAACAAAATATGCTCACTTCCATATGACATTGAATAATTTTTATTGTCATAATTGTATAATATAATTAACCAGATATGCATAGACTATAACCGTTACAATGTAAATAATAATTTTGACTTGTTTACAGATACTCAAATTTGATATTAAAAAATATTGATAATTGCTAAACACCCGCTTTGTAAACCTTTTACTTCACACAAAGAAGATATGTTTGAAATTCTACACACTATAGGTGGTCACAATTTGAATATAGAGTGGCATAAAGGAAAAGAAACTGGCAGTTTTGTTTAAAGAAAAAAACTTATTATTGTTTTTGTTGTTATTGTTGTGTTATGTTGTTGTTTTGGGTGTTTTTGTTGTTGTTGTTTTTCTTTTTCCATTAAAAAACTCCAACTATTCACAAATAATAGCTAAATTCAAACTAAAAGGTTATCTGTTTCCTGTCGACAGGGTAAGAGTACGAAAAAAGAAAGAAATCACTTTAAGATAGTGCGTTTATTGCCTTACCGTTATCTCGTAGTATTCTGACAAAAAGCTACAGCCCGCGTTTGTCCTATTCATAAAGGTTTCAGAGTTAAGGAGACACCAGCCGGAACTCTTCTTGTATAAAAACGAAACGCATCCACTTCTTTCTGTGCATTTCACCCCGCAAACTTCAGAATCGCGCACTTTGTAATAATTCCCAAGTATTGTACCATAGTAATCCCAGCAAATTTCTTCAAACTTATACTGTTTTTTCAGGATTTGACCAACAATAAAAGATGGCAAGATGAAGAAGAAAACAGCACTTGTCAAAAAGAGAACTAACACTTGACTCTTCATTATGTAAAGTTTCTATGAAATACGCTGTAGAGGTAAAGATTTCTGTATTTTCTTATTCCTAACGATACAATGCTGTTTTTATATTGAAAAGAAAAAAAGGATAAGAAAAACAAATAGTTTGTTATTTCTTTTTTTAGAATAGTTTTCAACTTAAGCAGGCAGTGGTATTTCTAACAGTTGGAGCTTTTAATGGAAGCGTAAGCCTTTGAGAATTTAACAACAGTGAAGTTCCTTAAGCAAACACAATATTTCAGCGGCGTTTATACATCAAAAACTACTCCTGTAGCTACCAATATGCGTATATAATTTTTTTTAAACTGGCCTTAGAAATAACAGTTTGATATTTTCTTTATGTCTAAACAATTTGTCGCATATGACACTTTCCCATAAATGTTGATACGTTTGGATTTTTGTATAGATGTTTTTTTATGTTGAAAAAGCGATATTTATACGTGTACAATCTAATTTGTTACTCGTGTTTCGCATATTATTATTATTGTAACTGTTTGAGGAAGCACTATCCCAATGGCATCATTTATTAGATTTATGGCAACAAAAAACATAGAATAGTTTTTCCTAAAATGAATGACAGCACTTCTATTTGATTTGGACCAAACTTGAATAAAACTTGTATTACTAGGATATCTTTTGAATTGACCCGATTCTCTCATATGTAATAGAGTAATGACGCTACAAAGATACAAAAACAGGCATAATATAAACCTTGTCCACATAAAATGTTTTCATTTTCGATTATATTTTTACGTTTTTCAACCAGTCATACAACACATAACCAGGTAACATATATTTGTTCCTGTCTTTAAATAGCCGGTTCCTTCGACTTTAGTTCAATTGATCCATGCAGGTCCAAAATACGTATACTTGCAAAGATTTACAAAAATTATTACAACTTGTCTTGCAAACCACAAGGTCTTGACTTAAGGTATTTGATAAATACCGGGACGGTATACTTTGCAGACGACTTTGCAGACAAGTTAAACATAGAGGTATTTTGCAGACAAGTTAAATAAAGAAGGATTTTAGACTTTGCAGACAATATAGATTATATAGGGGATGTTTAATCCCTTGTCAACTGGTCAAAAGGTGTGAATGGGAAAGTATGCTGTTGATCAATTGTATGTTTGGTATATATTAAAACCTTTCATGAATACTGTATTTCTGCGAATTGGTCGATCACTTTCTAACGAAGTATTGAAAGTGTATACCACTTACTCGTATAGCGGTCAGGTAGCCGAAGGTGAAATGTTTTCCTAGTTTTCCTAATCATAGATTTGCCTTCTGGTGGTGAACCTTAGATATCTAATACTTGGATAGCTTGCAAATATCTCTTCAATGATTTCTATTTGGGACTATAATGTATGGTGGCTAATTTGGAACGCTTTTGTGCGTTGTGTTGTTGCTGGCGACATGACGACAAGACGACAGTGTGACAACGCGCCGTTTGGCGTGCTTCGCTAGCGACAAGACGAAAAGGTGATAACGATATAGTTTGTGTTGTCGATATCGACAACGCAACGCGTAATTTGTACCATGATAAAGTGCACCTTTTTCAAAAGATAAAAGTTAAATGAACTGTTAACATAACAACTTGAATACAATTATTATAATTGAGGACAGTAAACTATGTAACTATAATTGAGCTGCGTCATGACAAAACCAACATAGTGCGTTTGCGACCAGCATGGATCCAGACCAGCCTGCGCATCCGCGCAGTCTGATCAGGATCCATGCTGTTCGCTATCAGTTTTTCTACTTGTAATAGAGTTGGTAAGCGAACAGCATGGATCCTGATCAGACTGCGCGGAAGAGCAGGCTTGTCTGGATCCATGCTGGTCGCAAACGCACTATGTTGGTTTTGTCGTGACACATCTCAATTGAATATGAATAACGCCTTACTCCATATGGAGCTTTTAATATAAAACAAATATTATTCCATTCTTTCTTACAGTCTTTCAAGTTTCTCAAAAGCGACTGCGAATAATTGTTATTTACTTAGGACAACAATAACGTCAACTTTTAAAACGTATCATGTGGCGGCCGCGTACTCTGATCTCCTTATTTACATGCGCACAGTACTATTTCCCTATTTTAAAGACAGTTCAGTAAAATATATGTGTTTTAGTGAGCCTGCAATATTTTCAAATTCGCCTTTTATGTCGTACATAAATTATTTCGTTTTTTCATTGATTTTAAGAAATCGTTAATTTACTAGACTCGTAACGTTATTCCCGTTTTCAAATATTTGAGCCATTTGCATGTTTTAAATACGAGGGCTGTTCGAATAGAATTGCTTATTGTCCCTTATCTCGTGATCCACGTAAGACACGATAAAAACCAATACATACCTGTATAGGGTAATTCAATACCTACACAACGGTGTATAATAAAATTTTCACGCGTTTCGTCCAAGTATAGCGTGAAAATATTGTCTTAACGATGCGTATACACAATATTGTAATGGTCAGTTTTTGAAATGTATATAGTATCTACACGTGTTATGCGTGCGATATCGTGTTAGTATATATAGGGGTTTTACAGTAGGTTTAATTCAGTCTACCGGACACTAGCGCATTGTTCATTCGGTTTTATCCAATTTTTGATATTTGCTGTGCGGACCACGTGGCATTAGAGATGGAAGAAAATCAATTATTGACTAGGATGGAGGCTCTTGTTTCAAATAAGTTGGCTGCTTTTGAAACGAAGATTTGTGAAACGCAGAAACAGCTTGCTGAGGCTCAGATAGCTAAATTTCAACAGAGCTTTGTTTCCAATGACAATTATCAATTTCGAAAGAAAGGAAATGAGGAGCAGTTTAAGATTAATTTCAAAGTGCTGGGCAGTCTACGTGAAGCAGAGGGTCAGCTTAGTGACATGGCAGCTGAGGGTTCGTCAAAAGCAGAGGCAGTTCGGCAGAAAGTTGTCGAAGGTATGAGCACTCTTATTCACCGTCAAAAACTAATTAAGTTAGCTGACTCAACTGATTTGGGCTGGAGGGTTGTAAATGAATACGAGGCACACCCGCTAGCCGAAGATTCGGATGATGAAAAGAAGATCTATCGAGCCCAGGTACATGCGGACCGTAAAGCCAAGCAGGAAAGACGGGCCAGGACTAAGCGGAATACTCCATATGTAGTTCCGGCAACCAGTTCACAATCGGCCGTGACGTCACCTTCAGGTGCACGTATTCAGACGATAGGTCGTAAACCGGGCTTGTGTTTTCGTTGTGGGAAACCAGGGCATTGGCAGGCGGACTGTAAGATGAGATCTACGGAGGTACAGGATGCTAAAGCGTGTCAGATAAGTAGATTTTATGTAAATCCTGTTTCATTGTTGAATAATTGGTCAAATAAGAAAGTTTTTGATAGTAGATCAAGAGAGAACAATGAAAAGGTTCTATCTCCAGTTGGCAAACTGCGGGAAAATATTTCCCATTGGGAAAAAGCAGGCGCAAGTAGCTTTGTATTAGAGGTTATAAAAGAAGGCTTTAAGCTGCCTTTGAAAGTTTTACCTGAGAAAAAAGTTTTAAAAAATAATAAGTCTGCGCTGGAAAATCGTATTTTTGTTTTGGAAGAAATTAGAAAATTATTAGTCAAGGGGTGTATCACAGAGGTTACAACTGCCCCACATGTAGTTAATCCTTTAACCGTTGCTTTTAGCAGGTCCGGGAAGCCCCGTTTGGTATTAGATTGTAGACACGTGAATCTTGATTTGTTCAAATATAAATGTACATTTGAAGATCAATCAGTAGCAAAATCATTATTTTCTACTGGAAATTACTTATTTACATTTGATTTAAAGTCTGCTTACCACCATATTGAGATATTCAGAAACCATCGAACATTTTTAGGGTTTTCATGGGAAGAAGATGGTATAAAAACATTTAACATATTTAATGTATTGCCTTTTGGTATATGTGTAGCAGGGTATATCTTTACAAAAGTATTAAGGGAAGTTGTTAAGTATTGGCGCTCTATGGGCCATAGGATTGTACTTTTTCTAGATGATGGTATGGGAGGGGACGTTTCCTTTCAAAAATCTTCTGTTTTGAGTGATTTTATTAGACATGACTTGCAGGCATTTGGGTTTTTATTAGCAGACGATAAATGTTTTTTGGAACCTTCTCAAACTGTCGTCTGGCTTGGTTTTGTTTGGGATACACAATTAGGCAATATATCTGTTACAGATTAAAAGAATAAAACGTTTTGAGATTTTGTTATGTTCTATTATTAAGAATGTGACTGAGGGTACAACTTTGATTCATGCACGAAAGTTGGCGTGTCTCATTGGCCAGTTAATGTCTATGAAAAGTGTTGTAGGACAGATAGTGAGACTGAGGTCACGTGCTATGTATGCATGTTTGAATCAAATGGCGAGCTGGAATGCTCTTGTTTCTATAAATGCTGACGTTTTATCAGAAATGTTGTTCTGGAAGGAACATATTAAAAAATTGAATTTTTGCGATATAGATAATGCAGTTAATTCGTGTATGTACGAGAGTATAGTGTTCACCGATGCAAGTGACGTCGGTTTTGGGGGCTATATAGAGGGTGTGACCGATAGCGAGGTCACCGGAAGTTGGTCCGAGTCCGAGAGTATGACTAGCTCCACGTGGAGAGAACTTGAGAGTGTAAACAGGATGCTATTAAGTAATCTTAATGGTCTAAAGGGGAAATCGGTTATATGGAAGACTGATAATAAAAACGTACCGGTTATTCTCAGTACTGGTAGTTCTAAGCCGCATTTGCAAAAAATTGCTTTGAATGTAGATGAAATTTGCAGAAGAAGTGAAATCATTTTACTGCCTGAATGGGTACCTAGGTCGATAAATACGGAGGCAGATTTTTTGAGCAGGTGCTGTGATAGCGATGACTGGGCGGTGCTTGATTGGATATTTTTTGCACTTGAACAGAAATGGGGGCACCACTCTATTGATAGGTTTGCTTGCGACTTTAATACGAAGTGTCAGGCTTTTAATTCGAGATTTTGGTGTCCTAATACAAGCGGTATAAATGCTTTTAAACAAACATGGACGGGCCATGTGAATTGGTTGGTTCCACCACCTAGGCTTAT